CACCCTGCAGGGCCCTCTCCCCTCCTCCAGCTCCGCAGCCAGGCCTGTGACCGTGATTCTGACACTGTCAGCGCATAACCTGGGCCCAGAAATAGAAGCAAATGGTGCCATCACTCAAGGCTCCGTGAATGCCGCTCACATGGCCAGTCGAGTCCCCTGGCCTACATTCCCTCCTGGATCCTGAGGGAGGCCAGTGGCCCCATAGAAAGGTCTGCCTGGAGGGCGCTCAGGGCCCAGGGTCAGGAAAGTGACTGCCACCCCCTGCCTCCCCCGTGCTGTGTGACCCGGCCAGGTCACTCAACCTCTCTGGGCCTCCGCTCACTGCAGTCAATGAGGGCAGGGCCATCCTTGGGAGCCTCCCTCCCTCATCGATAACATGAGGGTCACCCCAGAGGCGACTCTGAGGGCTCATGCGGCAGGCACCTGGGAGCAGGGCTTGGCCCCACAATCCCCTCTCAGCTCCTCTCACTGAGGGGGGGAATGGGAGGGGCTGAGATGCCTGAACCCCCAGGCAGGAATCCTGACACCTGTCCCTGGGGAGGGAGCAAAGATGAGGTTCCTTGCTGGTGAGGGGGCAGGTTTGGGGGCTGGCTGGGGCTGGGAGGAGGGGTCCTGGCTCTTCTGGCCTGAGGACTGACCCTGCCTCTACCCCCCTCCCCCACTGGCTTCTGGAGGGGGCGGGGACCAGCCGGTGGTGCTGTGGGGCAGGGTCAACTGGTCTGGAAGAGGTCTGCTGCGTTCGCAGGAGCGTCCTCGGAAATAACGAGAGACGTGCACCTGCCTCAGGGTCCAGGATGTCCACTGTGGCATCTCTCGCAGCCGCCCGTGCCCTTGAGTGGCAGGCGATGGGACAGCGGCCACTGGGGGCCAGTGGGACGGATGCGGCGGGTGGATATTTATAGCCGCGGAGGAGAGTCGGGGTTGGTCAGCGGGAAAGGCCAGTCACCCAGCAGCACTGACAGGAGGGGCCATTTTTGCAAAAAGGATGCAGCGGGTGGGTATTTATAGCCGCGGAGGAGAGCCGGGGGTTGGTCAGCGGGAAAGGCCAGTCGCCCAGCAGCACTGACAGGAGGGGCCATTTTTGCAAAAAAAAGAAGCCATGCGCTCACCTGCGGGGAAAGAGGCCCGGAAGGCGCCCCCTAAATGTGAGCCGTGCTTCTGGCTGGGAGCGAAGACGGGCGATTTGTATCGTCTTTCTGTCATTCTGCATTGAAAGTGTTTTCTCACCACGACTGCCCGGCACTTGTGCACATTTTAAAAAGTGATCTCACAAAAGACAAACATTGCAAGACTCCGCTTATAAGAGGTGCCTGGAATAAGGGGATTCCTAGCAACAGAAAGTAGGTCAGAGGTTGCCAGGGCTGGGGGCGGGGCGGGAGGGGGTGTCGGTGGGCACAGTGTCGGTCAGGAAGATGAGAAAGGTCTGGGGGTGATGGTGGTGAGCTGACCCGTGGTCCAGGAGCGGATTCGAGGTGACGCGCGTGGCAGTGCACATACAAGATGTTCTCTTAAACCCGGGCGCTCCGGGAAGCCCAGCGGGGAGGCCTGCAGGGGCAGGGAGGTGGCGAGGGAGGAGGTCCTGAGCGTCTGTCTTGTCCCCCAGCCTGAGAGTCTGAGGAATTCCGGTTTTCTCACCTGGAGGAGCTGGCCCTGCCTCTGCAGATGTCGGGGTGCAGGGGTGTCGAAATCACAAGCATAGAAGGTGGAGGGCACGTTTGTTCCTCAGCTGAGTGCCAGGCTGCTGGGCGCGACTTTAGAGCGGGGACGCTGCAGCCCTGGGGCCCGCCCATGGCTCCCTCCTCCCTTCCCCTCTGTGTCAGCTGCTGGGGGCCCTGACCTGGCTCGGGGGGTGGGAGTGGGGGGCGCCCAAGGGCTGCCCCGAGATGGTACAAAGTGGGCTGGGGCAGGCAGGAAGCATGTTCTACTCTGCAGAGCCCGCGGCTCACCTTCACCAGCGTGCTCCTGGTCAACCTAACTCCCATGGAGGGCTGTCACCTAGGCTGTCCGGGGAGCAGGGGCAGGTGGGCGGCGGAAGGTCTGCTAA